ATGGCCTTCATACGTTGTCAGAGCGCGTTTAATGTAGCAAATATCTCACTCTCAATCACTTGGTCAAAAGTGTTACCGCTTCTCCATCATGTCTAAGCTGTCATCTCTCGCTATCACTTTACCTCCCACTTCCGAGCATCTTCAGCAAATCGAAGTGTCGTGACGGGGAAGTCTCTGGTGCAACATTACAACTCACAACACTGAGTCCATTTACCAATTTGCAAACAACAAACCAGCCTTCCACCACCACCACCGTCTTCAAATTCCCCATGAAACCTGCCACTACCTTCGCGACAATCATGGCGGTAGGTGCTTTCATTGCAGCAGAGAGTGCACCAAATGCACCTGCACTTCGTGGCCTGCGTATGAACGCAGATATACTCACGGTCAAAGAAAATACCGAGGAAAGCATGAAGGGCCACCACCACCATGTCAAGAAAGTCAAGAAAGTCAAGAAAAATCGCTATTCCCGTGCCTGTGGAGGTGCCGCATTTCATTCCTGTTCCCGTCAGCATCCCGTCCACAGTGGTAGCTGGCTCCAACACTGCCGTCGTTGACTCCACCACCAATGTCGCCTCTACCAATGTCGCTTCTACCAATGTCGCCTCTACCAATGCCGCTTCGAACAATGTCGTTGCCGCAGGGACTAACGTGGCACTGGGATCTGCAGCTGTCACGCCAGCTCCGACGACTGCAAATGGACGTCCAGTGGCAACCCCTGCACCTACGGTAACCCGAGGATCAAGGGCCACGCCGGCACCAACGAACGTTTCCAGTGCAGATCCATCTCCAGCACAACAGCCAGGAGCTGCCGCAGCCATTCCTCAGTCTGGTGACGCAGGCATAGCCGGGGTCCCATCGACAGCAAGCTTCGGAAATGCCAACAACCCAGTTGGAGCTGGACTGGGTGCCTCAGGTGCTTCTGGCGGATTCCCTACAAACACCGGCGGGTTTGGTGGAAATCCTACGGGCACCATCGGTGGCGGCTTCGGTGGTGGCAATCAGATGCCTGGTTTCGGTGGTGGTATGTTTGGTGGAGCTGGTGCTGGCATGGGCGGCTTCAACGGAAATGGTGTGAACGGCTTCAATGGGAATGGTGCGGGCGGCTTCGGGCAACAGACGCGATTCGGCGCGCAAGGTGGGAACGCGTTTGGTGGAATTGGTGGGCAGGGTGCAAGGGGGAACTTCGGTCCGACTGGCAACAACGGATTCACCGGTGGCCAGCCTGGGTTTGGAGGTGCCGCACCGGCTGGTGGCAATGCGTTTGGTAGTGGAGGTTTTAATCGTCGCGAGCGTCAGCGTCGTCGTTGATGAGTGAGAGGTACAATCCAGCTTCAACTGCTGTTTGTTTGTTTTGTTGGTCATGTAGATAGCAAATTGTAATGTTCATCTCTCGAATACAACTGCACACCATATCTGTGAGGTTACTTTACAGTATAACATGTTATTGCAGTAGCAGAAGAATGCATTGTACCAAAATCTACGCGGTAGCAGCAACCTTATTTACGGAACCAGCGTTCTGCACCGCGTGCCACATACCACAATGCTATGCGAAATCATGAAGGAGTAAGAACAAACGACAAACACGTAAGTGACGAGTCTCATACAACCTCGGAAAATTCTATCTTCGATGAGCAATTGAAACATGCTAGCAGTCCTTCAAAAGCGATCCATTATTACATTTGTCGCGACTATTTTCAGGTACTTCTTCTTGGTACAGATGCTATGGCCTTCATACGTTGTCAGAGCGCGTTTAATGTAGCAAATATCTCACTCTCAATCACTTGGTCAAAAGTGTTACCACTTCTCCATCATGTCTAAGCTGTCATCTCTCGCTATCACTTTACCTCCCACTTCGAGCATCTTCAGCAAATCGAAGTGTCGTGACGGGGAAGTCTCTGGTGCAACATTACAACTCACAACACTGAGTCCATTTACCAATTTGCGAACAACAAACCAGCCTTCCACCACCACCACCGTCTTCCAATTCCCCATGAAACCTGCCACTACCTTCGCGACAATCATGGCGGTAGGTGCTTTCATTGCAGCAGAGAGTGCACCAAATGCACCTGCACTTCGTGGCCTGCGTATGAACGCAGATATACTCACGGTCAAAGAAAATACCGAGGAAAGCATGAAGGGCCACCACCTCCATGTCAAGAAAGTCAAGAAAATCAAGAAAATCGCTATTCCCGTGCCTGTGGAGGTGCCGCATTTCATTCCTGTTCCCGTCAGCATCCCGTCCACAGTGGTAGCTGGCTCCAACACTGCCGTCGTTGACTCCACCACCAATGTCGCCTCTACCAATGTCGCTTCTACCAATGTCGCCTCCATTAATGCCGCTTCGAACAATGTCGTTGCCGCAGGGACTAACGTGGCACTGGGATCTGCAGCTGTCACGCCAGCTCCGACGACTGCAAATGGACGTCCAGTGGCAACCCCTGCACCTACGGTAACCCGAGGATCAAGGGCCACGCCGGCACCAACGAACGTTTCCAGTGCAGATCCATCTCCAGCACAACAGCCAGGAGCTGCCGCAGCCATTCCTCAGTCTGGTGACGCAGGCATAACCGGGGTCCCATCGACAGCAGGCTTCGGAAATGCCAACAACCCAGTTGGAGCTGGACTGAGTGCCTCAGGTGCTTCTGGTGGATTCCCTACAAACACCGGCGGGTTTGGTGGAAATCCTACGGGCACCATCGGTGGCGGCTTCGGTGGTGGCAATCAGATGCCTGGTTTCGGTGGTGGTATGTTTGGTGGAGCTGGTGCTGGCATGGGCGGCTTCAACGGAAATGGTGTGAACGGCTTCAATGGGAATGGTGCGGGCGGCTTCGGGCAACAGACGCGATTCGGCGCGCAAGGTAGGAACGCGTTTGGTGGAATTGGTGGGCAGGGTGCAAGGGGGAACTTCGGTCCGACTGGCAACAACGGATTCACCGGTGGCCAGCCTGGGTTTGGAGGTGCCGCACCGGCTGGAGGCAATGCGTTTGGTAGTGGAGGTTTTAATCGTCGCGAGCGTCAGCGTCGTCGTTGATGAGTGAGAGGTACAATCCAGCTTCAACTGCTGTTTGTTTGTTGTGTTGGTCATGTAGATAGCAAATTGTAATGTTCATCTCTCGATTACAACTGCACACCATATCTGTGAGGTTACTTTACAGTATAACATGTTATTGCAGTAGCAGAAGAATGCATTGTACCAAAATCTACGCGGTAGCAGCAACCTTATTTACGGAACCAGCGTTCTGCACCGCGTGCCACATACCACAATGCTATGCGAAATCATGAAGGAGTAAGAACAAACGACAAACACGTAAGTGACGAGTCATCATACAACCTCGGAAAATTCTATCTTCGATGAGCAATTGAAACATGCTAGCAGTCCTTCAAAAGCGATCCATTATTACATTTGTCGCGACTATTTTCAGGTACTTCTTCTTGGTACAGATGCTTTGGCCTTCATACGTTGTCAGAGTCGCGTTTAATGTAGCAAATATCTCACTCTCAATCACTTGGTCAAAAGTGTTACCGCTTCTCCATCATGTCTAAGCTGTCATTTCTAGCTATCACTTTACCTCCCACTTCGAGCATCTTCAGCAAATCGAAGTGTCGTGACGGGGAAGTCTCTGGTGCAACATTACAACTCACAACACTGAGTCCATTCACCAATTTGCAAACAACAAACCAGCCTTCCACCACCACCACCGTCTTCTAATTCCCCATGAAACCTGCCGCTACCTTCGCGACAATCATGGCGGTAGGTGCTTTCATTGCAGCAAAAGGTGCGCCGAATGCACCTGCACTTCGTGGCCTGCGTATGAGCGCAGATATACCCACGGTCAAAGAAAATACCGAGGAAAGCAGGAAGGGCCACCACCACCATGTCAAGAAAGTCAAGAAAGTCAAGAAAATCGCTATTCCCGTGCCTGTGGAGGTGCCGCATCTCATTCCTGTTCCCGTCAGCATCCCGTCCACAGTGGTAGCTGGCTCCAACACTGCCGTCGTTGACTCCACCACCAATGTCGCCTCTACCAATGTCGCTTCTACCAATGTCGCCTCTACCAATGCCGCTTCGAACAATGTCGTTGCCGCAGGGACTAACGTGGCACTGGGAACTGCAGCTGTCACGCCAGCTCCGACGACTGCAAATGGACGTCCAGTGGCAACCCCTGCACCTACGGTAACCCGAGGATCAAGGGCCACGCCGGCACCAGCGAACGTTTCCAGTGCAGATCCATCTCCAGCACAACAGCCAGGAGCTGCCGCAGCCATTCCTCAGTCTGGTGACGCAGGCATAGCCGGGGTCCCATCGACAGCAAGCTTCGGAAATGCCAACAACCCAGTTGGAGCTGGACTGGGTGCCTCAGGTGCTTCTGGCGGATTCCCTACAAACACCGGCGGGTTTGGTGGAAATCCTACGGGCACCATCGGTGGCGGCTTCGGTGGTGGCAATCAGATGCCTGGTTTCGGTGGTGGTATGTTTGGTGGAGCTGGTGCTGGCATGGGCGGCTTCAACGGAAATGGTGTGAACGGCTTCAATGGGAATGGTGCGGGCGGCTTCGGGCAACAGACGCGATTCGGCGCGCAAGGTGGGAACGCGTTTGGTGGAATTGGTGGGCAGGGTGCAAGGGGGAACTTCGGTCCGACTGGCAACAACGGATTCACCGGTGGCCAGCCTGGGTTTGGAGGTGCCGCACCGGCTGGTGGCAATGCGTTTGGTAGTGGAGGTTTTAATCGTCGCGAGCGTCAGCGTCGTCGTTGATGAGTGAGAGGTACAATCCAGCTTCAACTGCTGTTTGTTTGTTGTGTTGGTCATGTAGATAGCAAATTGTAATGTTCATCTCTCGAATACAACTGCACACCATATCTGTGAGGTTACTTTACAGTATAACATGTTATTGCAGTAGCAGAAGAATGCATTGTACCAAAATCTACGCGGTAGCAGCAACCTTATTTACGGAACCAGCGTTCTGCACCGCGTGCCACATACCACAATGCTATGCGAAATCATGAAGGAGTAAGAACAAACGACAAACACGTAAGTGACGAGTCATATACAACCTCGGAAAATTCTATCTTCGATGAGCAATTGAAACATGCTAGCAGTCCTTCAAAAGCGATCCATTATTACATTTGTCGCGACTATTTTCAGGTACTTCTTCTTGCTATGGCCTTCATACGTTGTCAGAGCGCGTTTAATGTAGCAAATATCTCACTCTCAATCACTTGGTCAAAAGTGTTACCACTTCTCCATCATGTCTAAGCTGTCATTTCTAGCTATTACTTTACCTCCCACTTCGAGCATCTTCAGCAAAGTGAAGTGTCGTGACGGGGAAGTCTCCGGTGCAACATTACAACTCACAACACTGAGTCCATTCACCAATTTGCGAACAACAAACCAGCCTTCCACTACCACCACCGTCTTCCAATTCCCCATGAAACCTGCCACTACCTTCGCGACAATCATGGCGGTAGGTGCTTTCATTGCAGCAGAGAGTGCACCAAATGCACCTGCACTTCGTGGCCTGCGTATGAACGCAGATATACTCACGGTCAAAGAAAATACCGAGGAAAGCATGAAGGGCCACCACCACCATGTCAAGAAAGTCAAGAAAGTCAAGAAAATCGCTATTCCCGTGCCTGTGGAGGTGCCGCATTTCATTCCTGTTCCCGTCAGCATCCCGTCCACAGTGGTAGCTGGCTCCAACACTGCCGTCGTTGACTCCACCACCAATGTCGCCTCTACCAATGTCGCCTCTACCAATGTCGCCTCCATTAATGCCGCCTCGAACAATGTCGTTGCCGCAGGGACTAACGTGGCACTGGGATCTGCAGCTGTCACGCCAGCTCCGACGACTGCAAATGAACGTCCAGTGGCAACCCTTGCACCTACGGTAACCCGAGGATCAAGGGCCACGCCGGCACCAACGAACGTTTCCAGTGCAGATCCATCTCCAGCACAACAGCCAGGAGCTGCCGCAGCCATTCCTCAGTCTGGTGACGCAGGCATAGCCGGGGTCCCATCGACAGCAAGCTTCGGAAATGCCAACAACCCAGTTGGAGCTGGACTGGGTGCCTCAGGTGCTTTTGGTGGATTCCCTACAAACACCGGCGGGTTTGGTGGAAATCCTACGGGCACCATCGGTGGCGGCTTCGGTGGTGGCAATCAGATGCCTGGTTTCGGTGGTGGTATGTTTGGTGGAGCTGGTGCTGGCATGGGCGACTTCAACGGAAATGGTGTGAACGGCTTCAATGGGAATGGTGCGGGCGGCTTCGGGCAACAGACGCGATTCGGCGCGCAAGGTAGGAACGCGTTTGGTGGAATTGGTGGGCAGGGTGCAAGGGGGAACTTCGGTCCGACTGGCAACAACGGATTCACCGGTGGCCAGCCTGGGTTTGGAGGTGCCGCACCGGCTGGAGGCAATGCGTTTGGTAGTGGAGGTTTTAATCGTCGCGAGCGTCAGCGTCGTCGTTGATGAGTGAGAGGTACAATCCAGCTTCAACTGCTGTTTGTTTGTTTTGTTGGTCATGTAGATAGCAAATTGTAATGTTCATCTCTCGATTACAACTGCACACCATATCTGTGAGGTTACTTTACAGTATAACATGTTATTGCAGTAGCAGAAGAATGCATTGTACCAAAATCTACGCGGTAGCAGCAACCTTATTTACGGAACCAGCGTTCTGCACCGCGTGCCACATACCACAATGCTATGCGAAATCATGAAGGAGTAAGAACAAACGACAAACACGTAAGTGACGAGTCTCATACAACCTCGGAAAATTCTATCTTCGATGAGCAATTGAAACATGCTAGCAGTCCTTCAAAAGCGATCCATTATTACATTTGTCGCGACTATTTTCAGGTACTTCTTCTTGGTACAGATGCTTTGGCCTTCATACGTTGTCAGAGTCGCGTTTAATGTAGCAAATATCTCACTCTCAATCACTTGGTCAAAAGTGTTACCGCTTCTCCATCATGTCTAAGCTGTCATTTCTAGCTATCACTTTACCTCCCACTTCGAGCATCTTCAGCAAATCGAAGTGTCGTGACGGGGAAGTCTCTGGTGCAACATTACAACTCACAACACTGAGTCCATTCACCAATTTGCAAACAACAAACCAGCCTTCCACCACCACCACCGTCTTCTAATTCCCCATGAAACCTGCCGCTACCTTCGCGACAATCATGGCGGTAGGTGCTTTCATTGCAGCAAAAGGTGCGCCGAATGCACCTGCACTTCGTGGCCTGCGTATGAGCGCAGATATACCCACGGTCAAAGAAAATACCGAGGAAAGCAGGAAGGGCCACCACCACCATGTCAAGAAAGTCAAGAAAGTCAAGAAAATCGCTATTCCCGTGCCTGTGGAGGTGCCGCATTTCATTCCTGTTCCCGTCAGCATCCCGTCCACAGTGATAGCTGGCTCCAACACTGCCGTCGTTGACTCCACCACCAATGTCGCCTCTACCAATGTCGCTTCTACCAATGTCGCCTCTACCAATGCCGCTTCGAACAATGTCGTTGCCGCAGGGACTAACGTGGCACTGGGAACTGCAGCTGTCACGCCAGCTCCGACGACTGCAAATGGACGTCCAGTGGCAACCCCTGCACCTACGGTAACCCGAGGATCAAGGGCCACGCCGGCACCAGCGAACGTTTCCAGTGCAGATCCATCTCCAGCACAACAGCCAGGAGCTGCCGCAGCCATTCCTCAGTCTGGTGACGCAGGCATAGCCGGGGTCCCATCGACAGCAAGCTTCGGAAATGCCAACAACCCAGTTGGAGCTGGACTGGGTGCCTCAGGTGCTTTCTGGCGGATTCCCTACAAACACCGGCGGGTTTGGTGGAAATCCTACGGGCACCATCGGTGGCGGCTTCGGTGGTGGCAATCAGATGCCTGGTTTCGGTGGTGGTATGTTTGGTGGAGCTGGTGCTGGCATGGGCGGCTTCAACGGAAATGGTGTGAACGGCTTCAATGGGAATGGTGCGGGCGGCTTCGGGCAACAGACGCGATTCGGCGCGCAAGGTAGGAACGCGTTTGGTGGAATTGGTGGGCAGGGTGCAAGGGGGAACTTCGGTCCGACTGGCAACAACGGATTCACCGGTGGCCAGCCTGGGTTTGGAGGTGCCGCACCGGCTGGTGGCAATGCGTTTGGTAGTGAAGGTTTTAATCGTCGCGAGCGTCAGCGTCGTCGTTGATGAGTGAGAGGTACAATCCAGCTTCAACTGCTGTTTGTTTGTTGTGTTGGTCATGTAGATAGCAAATTGTAATGTTCATCTCTCGAATACAACTGCATACCATATCTGTGAGGTTACTTTACAGTATAACATGTTATTGCAGTAGCAGAAGAATGCATTGTACCAAAATCTACGCGGTAGCAGCAACCTTATTTACGGAACCAGCGTTCTGCACCGCGTGCCACATACCACAATGCTATGCGAAATCATGAAGGAGTAAGAACAAACGACAAACACGTAAGTGACGAGTCATATACAACCTCGGAAAATTCTATCTTCGATGAGCAATTGAAACATGCTAGCAGTCCTTCAAAAGCGATCCATTATTACATTTGTCGCGACTATTTTCAGGTACTTCTTCTTGGTACAGATGCTTTGGCCTTCATACGTTGTCAGAGTCGCGTTTAATGTAGCAAATATCTCACTCTCAATCACTTGGTCAAAAGTGTTACCGCTTCTCCATCATGTCTAAGCTGTCATTTCTAGCTATCACTTTACCTCCCACTTCGAGCATCTTCAGCAAATCGAAGTGTCGTGACGGGGAAGTCTCCGGTGCAACATTACAACTCACAACACTGAGTCCATTCACCAATTTGCAAACAACAAACCAGCCTTCCACCACCACCACCGTCTTCTAATTCCCCATGAAACCTGCCGCTACCTTCGCGACAATCATGGCGGTAGGTGCTTTCATTGTAGCAAAAGGTGCGCCGAATGCACCTGCACTTCGTGGCCTGCGTATGAGCGCAGATATACCCACGGTCAAAGAAAATACCGAGGAAAGCAGGAAGGGCCACCACCACCATGTCAAGAAAGTCAAGAAAGTCAAGAAAATCGCTATTCCCGTGCCTGTGGAGGTGCCGCATTTCATTCCTGTTCCCGTCAGCATCCCGTCCACAGTGGTAGCTGGCTCCAACACTGCCGTCGTTGACTCCACCACCAATGTCGCCTCTACCAATGTCGCTTCTACCAATGTCGCCTCTACCAATGCCGCTTCGAACAATGTCGTTGCCGCAGGGACTAACGTGGCACTGGGATCTGCAGCTGTCACGCCAGCTCCGACGACTGCAAATGGACGTCCAGTGGCAACCCCTGCACCTACGGTAACCCGAGGATCAAGGGCCACGCCGGCACCAACGAACGTTCCCAGTGCAGATCCATCTCCAGCACAACAGCCAGGAGCTGCCGCAGCCATTCCTCAGTCTGGTGACGCAGGCATAGCCGGGGTCCCATCGACAGCAAGCTTCGGAAATGCCAACAACCCAGTTGGAGCTGGACTGGGTGCCTCAGGTGCTTCTGGCGGATTCCCTACAAACACCGGCGGGTTTGGTGGAAATCCTACGGGCACCATCGGTGGCGGCTTCGGTGGTGGCAATCAGATGCCTGGTTTCGGTGGTGGTATGTTTGGTGGAGCTGGTGCTGGCATGGGCGGCTTCAACGGAAATGGTGTGAACGGCTTCAATGGGAATGGTGCGGGCGGCTTCGGGCAACAGACGCGATTCGGCGCGCAAGGTGGGAACGCGTTTGGTGGAATTGGTGGGCAGGGTGCAAGGGGGAACTTCGGTCCGACTGGCAACAACGGATTCACCGGTGGCCAGCCTGGGTTTGGAGGTGCCGCACCGGCTGGTGGCAATGCGTTTGGTAGTGGAGGTTTTAATCGTCGCGAGCGTCAGCGTCGTCGTTGATGAGTGAGAGGTACAATCCAGCTTCAACTGCTGTTTGTTTGTTTTGTTGGTCATGTCGATAGCAAATTGTAATGTTCATCTCTCGAATACAACTGCACACCATATCTGTGAGGTTACTTTACAGTATAACATGTTACCGCAGTAGCAGAAGAATGCATTGTACCAAAATCTACGCGGTAGCAGCAACCTTATTTACGGAACCAGCGTTCTGCACCGCGTGCCACATACCACAATGCGATGCTAAATCATAAAAGGAGTAAGAACAAACGACAAACACGTAAGTGACGAGTCTCATACAACCTCGGAAAATTCTATCTTCGATGAGCAATTGAAACCTGCTAGCAGTCCTTCAAAAGCGATCCATTATTACATTTGCCGCGACTATTTTCAGGTACTTCTTCTTGGTACAGATGCTATGGCCTTCATACGTTGTCAGAGTCGCGTTTAATGTAGCAAATATCTCACTCTCAATCACTTGGTCAAAAGTGTTACCGCTTCTCCATCATGTCTAAGCTGTCATTTCTAGCTATCACTTTACCTCCCACTTCGAGCATCTTCAGCAAATTGAAGTGTCGTGACGGGGAAGTCTCCGGTGCAACATTACAACTCACAACACTGAGTCCATTCACCAATTTGCGAACAACAAACCAGCCTTCCACCACCACCACCGTCTTCCAATTCCCCATGAAACCTGCCGCTACCTTCGCGACAATCATGGCGGTAGGTGCTTTCATTGCAGCAAAGAGGTGCGCCGAATGCACCTGCACTTCGTGGCCTGCGTATGAACGCAGATATACCCACGGCTTCAAAGAAAATACCGAGGAAA